TATGATTATTTCAGATTGTAAGGAGTCACAATCCTAACATAGTTTTTTTTACAAAAAATTAAGGTTTAAACTCATAAATAATCTTCACTACTCCACCCAACTACAATTGATTTTTAGCTAATAATCAAACAGTAGATAATATTATTTTGGTCATATGTTGAGTTTTGATTCTATTATCTCTTACAAATAGTACTCCCTCTATTATAAATAAATGTACAATATTTTTTAAGAAGTTAGATGTTTAAAAATAGAAGGCATTTTTAGTCTTTCAAGGTGTAATTATTGTCTTTTTATTCAAAAGTGTTCCTATTGATAATGACTTTATATTTATTGTAATGTATTTAATAGGATAAATATAAAAAGATAGGATTAATTTAAACATAAATAATATTTTATTGAGAGTAAAATTTAATTAAAAATATTTTAAATGATGGGAAGTTAAGTTTACGCCAATTTAATATCAGCATAAAAAATGATAATCTTAAATAAAATATTTTGTACACTTTATTATTTATTAAAAGCATGAAATAAAAAAATCACAACAGTCACAGATTGCAACCACGGACGAAAAGCTGAACCTTTCTCTGATGTGATTTCGTTTCATATAAATAGCAAAAGACCCGTCAGAGAAATAATGGAAATCGTACTGTTCGTAATAATTGACCAAAGGGCCAACAGGGAAGCCTCTTACCCTGTTTTGTTGGAGGTTGGGTTGGGGGGGAGATTTTAATAAATTTGATTTTTAAAAAAAATAGATACGCTGAGTTATAAAATTTTAATAAAGGAAGCATGTAAATTAAAAAAAGTAGAAAAATTAATTGAAAATTTTTAATCTCACTTCTTCATTTTTTTTTTAAATAAACTGTTCGGATCGAATACTTCCGTTCTTTCCATTTCATTTTCCCTCAAAACCAAACACGCCCTTGAGTTATTCTTCTAACGGAGCTGAGGAATGGCTTTTCATGATTGAAAACTTGTCAGCAAAATCATCAGTTGCTTTTCCGATAACGTAATACTGAACTGATCTCAGCGGAAGGAAGAAGAAAGACACAGCTGAAACAATCAACTTTTCTAGGATCTCACCGTTTCTCGTATGCCTCGTGCGAGTGTTCCTCACCAGATTCTTAATTTGTGCTTTTTACTCGGGTTACCATATGGCCTTGTGCGAATGTATGCTTTTTTACCTGTACATTTCACTGCGATAAATCATGATATCGTCAGGCCAGGTTTATCAGTATTCATTAACTCTGCCTTGCACCAAACAAAAGTAAATTCTTGAATATATGTTTAATAACGAGCATAAATCAATGGTCCGAAATCTGAAGAAATAGAAGCAGCCATTAATTTTGCGTACACCCAAGGGAAGGGCACAGTACGTACCGTTTCAGAAATTAGGCATGGAGTATTAAGAAGACGATGGATATAAGTAAGCTTGAGCTTCAATGCTCGACTGGTGAAATGAATCAGTCATTAATGGCTGTCGTTTCCGCGAGGAACTGATGATATGAGATCCATGTAGCGTGTTTGGATGGCGTACGTCCATTTATATCACTGCTTCTTAATTCTTGTCCTTCGTCTTGTTTGAGTTCTTCAATTGTCTGTTACGATTCTGAATTCTGATATACGAAAGCCTAAGGCGCAGAGAAGCAGACGGAGGTGCAGTGACCGTTGGGCATTTATTGAATTCTCAGTGAAGGAAAGAACAACGAAAATAAATAGTGTGCATGTATCTGTGGTTAGACTTAGAGGGTTATTAATTATTGTTGTCTTCTTTTGAAGAATTCTCTAATGTCATGGTTAGATATATACATAGATTTAGATTTGTATTTAGGTTCAGATAAAAAAATTTATTTTGATATACAAAAATTTTTAAATTTAAATTTGATTTAAATCAAAATTTATTTTAAATTATAATTTTTTTATAATTTTAAATTCTTTCTCCACCTTAATCATTTAAAATTTTAATCATTTCAAATATTTTATTCTATTTGCATTTTAACAAATAATATCTTAATGACTCTCATATTTTTTATTTTTTTCAATTAAAAATAAAGATAAACTTGTTATTTTAAATTTTTCATTTTCACAATTCAAATATTAATTAATCTCTATTCTTTATTTGAAAATTTTAAACTACCCGAACAAATTTTTTTAATATATAAATTTTAAATGTGAGATTTAAGTATATTTTCAAATCTAAAATCAAAACTAAAATATATTAATCCAAATGGTATCTGATGTTAATTTACTGTTATAATTTTAGATAAAAAAATTAAAATATACTACTCCACTCATTACTATAAGATTAAGTTAACAAACTTTGCGTTTATTAAAATGTTAGTTATAATCTTAAAATTATAAAAAAATGTAAAAAAATTAATCATTTAATCTTTATAATTTTGATTGAATTGTAACTCAATTTTTAAATTTTAACTCGTTGTAACTCAGTCTTTACAATTTTAACTTAGTTGTAATTTAGATTTTGAATTTTACCTTTTGTAACTTAATCCTTATAGTTTTAATCATTTAAATATTGGTCTCTCTATTTTAAAAATAAATTATAAAGACTAAAAATATTTTAATATTTATATTCTCCATAAAGATTAAAAGAGTTTAGTAATTTAAAATATTAGTCATGAATTTAACATAATTTTAATCTATATAATTTTATTTTTGAAAATATAGGGACTAATCTTTTATATGATTAAAAATATAAAGACTGAGTTGCAAGAGTCAGTTCAGATATTGAGTTATAATTGAATCAAAACTTTAAGAATTGAGTTACAACAAATTAAAGTTTAAAGACTAAATTACTAACAGGTCAAAACTATAAAAATTAAATGATTAATTTTTTTAAAAATGTATATTTTTAATTTTACCCTTCTTTATAGTTAATTACCATGATAAATTATTGTTTAATAAGTTTAGATGATTATGATGATCCTTTCATTTTATGTTTTTCATGATCTGCAATTTATTCGATTTTCAACTTCTGGTCAACTGTTGATATATATTCACTTATCCCTTATCTCTTGACTTTGTATATGTCATGTCCATAATATAAAAAAAGTTGATCAGTTAAACCATTAAACAGTTAAATCAATGTATTAACGGATTCAATAAAATATTTTATTTATGATTTATTTAATTGTGATTCAATTATTATTTTTATTCATTAATTTTTGAATCAGTGCTTTAACTGACTCAGTTTTCATTACCTTGATCATGTCTAACATCAATGATTTGAGGGAGATAAAATAATTTAGGAACATGTCCGTAGATATGCTAATGCTCAGGTTGATTGGCTGCCTCGATGAGCTCATGATATGAATATGGAGACTACCATAATGCCGGAGCCTCCACAATAAAATAAAACTTTTGTCTTCCTCTGTATTTAAAAAAAAAAAAAAAACAAGCGACCAACCCCATAGAGAGAGAGAATAAACTTGTTTCATGCACATAACTATAACGACTAACATGGAAAATGATAATTAGAAACTTCCTAAAGCCATTAATTATAATTAAGGATCCTAAATTATTGTAATCACAATAATAAATCATGATCCTTACATAAAATTTTAAAAAAATATAAATAATCTAAAATACCCTTTAGAAGTGACTTTAGTTTTAAAAGTAAATTTTATTTTCATATAAAGAAACAATCCATTCCCAACTACTATTATTCCTCAATTTTTCAATTGAGATTAATAATATTCACACTTCATGATACTAACATCAACGGTGTTAATTTTTTTTTTTTTTTTCAAGTGAAGGGAAATTTTATAAATTCATACATGTTTTTAAGTTCAAGTAAGAATCATAATCTATTATTAAAATTTTAATAATTTAAAATTCCTAATTTAATTAATGACTATGAAAAGTCCTTAATTGTCAGTTTCCTGACCAACAACCATGATCATAAAAATCATTGAAGGACCACAAAATTCTTTGTCTAAATAACTAAATAATTTATAACTTTAAGAAATTTAATCATGTAATTATTTTTATCAAAAGTGAAAGTTTTAAATACTTTTTTTTTTTATAAAATGTTAATGTTATGAGTTTCAAGGGAACTGGGACTCACTCAACCATAGTCACCGTTTTTTTTTTTTTTTTGGGCCAAAGTCACCGAAGTTGACAATCCACCCAGGCTCAGGAAAAAAACCTTCTGTAAATTAGTGAGAATGATTTTTGCCTATTTTTTTTATTTTTAAAACTATCTCTTTTATTAAACCTATTATGTTGTTTATGCCCTTTATTAGTTTTTATAATATATTTCAATTTCAAATCAAATTTTATACACCTGCTCCCAAAGAATCGGTTTGAACTAAACCCCGTTCATGACCCAACAAGTAGAACAGGACCATGATAATGATTATTGAAATCATTAAATCAACATCAATTTTAAATATCAGCTTTAAACAATGAACACCATGTGCTCTAGTCCCTATTACAGAGCTCCTAATAAAAATATTCTTTAATCCTTAATACGAGACACATGGAAAATTATCATATATTGAATATCTCTCTTCCATATTTTATATGGGTGAAGTTTTTTTTTTTTTTTTTTCAGGTTAAGATATATTCAATAATTTAACTATCATTCCTTGATTTAAGCAAAGTAACTGAAAACACTTGTAATAATGACCAGAAAGAGCATATGCACCAAATATAAAATAACTATATTGCTCTGCTCTTGGTTTGTGAGTATGAAATAACTATACTACTCAAGAAAAAAACAAGTTATGCAGAAATTACAAAAGCCACTAAATTATTCCAGTCATCCAGTGAAGAAAATGGCGTCAGGTACCTGTAGTTTTGATCCCAGGGATGCAAGCGCTTGATGAAATAAACGTGAATTATAAGACTAACAGTACAAATGGAGCTAAATAACAGTAAATATGGTGGATCATTGCTGTGTACTGTTGTGCACCCTAGCGTCAGGACGAAAGAATTGCAGGTTAGAGCATGCAACCTTTGGCTCTAAGAAAACTCGCATGTAACAAGTTCAACTATACATGTATAAATTTCACCACGGTATCCAAAGATCCAACTATACTGAAAAAGAATAAGCCAGCGCATACACTAACTGATAACAACTCTGTTAAGTTACAGAAAACCTGAGACAAAACTGATCCATATTGATTAACTTCGCATTCGTTTTCGTCGGCTACCCTCCTCATCGGTGCCCTACACTCAGATAAGAAGTTCATCAAGTGTTTTCCCAAGAAAGGCTGAAGAACAGTATTTATCACCGCACGAAAAAGAAAAGATGGAGCACCAGGTGTACTAGGTCAAAAACTAAACTACTGTAAAAATCGGGTGGTCGTTGACATTCATGCTTATGAATTATGATGGCAACCCGATTAGTCGCAATCTAATCTCATGTTATATGAAAAGTAAAAACATAGCATCCTCATACTCCAACACAACTTTAGTTACATCCAAACTTACACACATGCCTTAATTGAAAAAACACAAGGAAGAAAGAGGGCCAAGTTCAGTTACAGACTCAATTACGAATAGTCAGAACATCATGTCCCTAAACCAGTGCGCGCAATTCCAATACCAACAAGTAGCAGCACTGGTCCCTAGACGGAGGTAAACTAGATTACATAAACATTCAAATCATAATGCATTGGGGGAATAGTCCAATGCATCGCTGCTGTCAATGTCCAATTCCTAGCTGTTGCATTAGTAAAATAAAAGCAGTGGAGTAATATGGGGGAGTGTACACCTTTTTTAATTACAAGGAGCAAGCTAAAACCAGCTTGAAAAGATGAGAGAGAGTTGGAGAATTGCCCAGGGATGCCCTAGGATATCCCAGACCACAATACTAGGACGAATTATTGACAATTTTAATTTTTATGTTGGCCTTCAATCCTTATATTAACATTATACAAGATATGAATGACGGAGCTACAACTAGTGTAAAAATGTCTACAAGTAAAACAAAAAGATTTCCTATGAGAATTGGCCTACATCAGAGATCATCTTTGAACTCTTGTTTGACTTGGTTTTGAATGTTCTAATTGAACATATGCAAGAAGAAATCTCCAAACACATGCTTTTTGCCGACGACATTGTTCTGATCAGAGTCAAGAGAGTAGATTAACTCTAAACTTGAGTTATGGGGTTGAACATTAAAGTCAAAGAGTTTCCATTTGAATAGGAGTCAGACAATATTTGCACTGTCAATTTGATAAGAGGCAAGTTAGTAGTGGGTTTGGAGATTGAATTGACAGATCAAATCATATCACAAGTGACCAAGTTCAAATATTTGGGAGATGTTATACAAAATGATGGAAAAATTGATAAAGATATTACACATAGAATACAAGTTGAGCGGTTTAAATGGAGAACAGTTACAATTTTTATCTATAATCCAAAGGTCCTTGATAAGCTTGAAAGAAAATTTTATTGCACTGCTATAATACCAACTATGCTATATAGTAGTGAATGATGAGCTTTTAAAAGGACAACAAAAATGTAAATTTAGGATAGTATAGATGAGGACGTTGAGATGGATGTATGAATATACAATAAAAAAATATGATTCATAATGATCATATACAAGAAAGAGTTGGCATGGCATCTATTATAGAAAAAAAAAAGTTTAAAATCTTTAAGATGGTTTGGACATGTTGAGAAAAGACCAGCGGAAGCACCGGTGAGAAGGGTAGAACAAACAATTCAAAGTCCTATAAAGAGAGGTAGAGAAAAATCAAAAAGAACACTAAATGAAATTATTGAAAGGGATCTTCTTGTTAACAATATTTTTAGAGATTTGGTTGTTGAAAGAACACAATAGTGTTGTGCAATTCATATAGCTGATTCTGTCTAGTAGATAAGGCTTATTGTTATTGTTGTAATAATCCATATATTTCATGAAAGTGAAAATTTAAAATCAAAATAGAGGCAGAGTTGGCAAAACAATGATCAGCAGCCTAGAATCCCAAATATCAATCCATTAATCAAGGAATTCTTATATGGAAGCCAACTCAAAATGAAGACAATATCAAGGACTTAAAATTGATAGGCAGATGCATAGCAGATGAACAAGATGAGAAATACATACCCTTTCATCCAGTCCAATATCTTCAGCGGGGACCACACTAGACTCAGATCTGCACTTCGCATGAACAATGGGGCCTAACTGCGACCTATCCATGCCAGCTACTGTTCCATTGGGTGCATTGACATATACAGCTCCTCTGTACATCCATTCCTCAGTTTCATCACTGTAAAACTCATCGAAAGGCTCACCACATAATGCACATGTATTCTGATCCTCATCAGCTGGCACAGATAACTCTTCATCGCATTTTTTTTCTTCTACATCCTCAGTTGGCAAAAAACCAGGGACTGATTCTGTTCCCAATGCCTCTGCGCCACTAAGCCACATACTCTCACTCACAAACCACTTGCGAGAAGGCTTCTGCTTACGGTTTTTAGACATCCGGTTCTTAGTAACATGCCAATCCATATGACTACGGTGCTCCTCTTGGCATTTGAATCGAAGGCCACAAGTAGTGCATTGTCTAGGAAGATCACCATACAAGGCACAGATTGCAGACTCATGACAAATCTTTAGAACATCAGGATTAAACTCGGTTCCAACAGAATCCTAAAAGTTGGGTTATCTTTAATTTAGGTAGATTCTTTCAGTTGAATAATAAAAACTAAAAATGAAGGAAGAAAGGAAAAGAAAATGGAAAATAAGACAGATACCTGTTTGGGAGGTTGATTTGTCAATGATACCAAACCTTGGGACATAAGGGAATTAATTAAACCAGAAAATGCACCCCCTGGCCGTCGGGCTGACACATTAGGACCAGCATTTGAATGCGGTATTGTTCGTGACATAGCAGGATGGGACATTGGAGGTAAAGACATCAAGTTTCCCCTTTGTAAGTGAGAAGAGTTATTTGCAATATTTTGGACTGGAATAGGGAATTGTACAGCAGGAAGCGAATTTGGCATGGCTGTACTTATAGCATCAATATGTCCTTGCAAGAAGCTTCCACGACTAAATTGCAAAGGTGTTGGAGCTTGTGATCTAAGTAACTTTTCTTGCATGTCCTGAGAAGGAAAGATTTGTGCTTGTCCACAGTTTTGCTGGTTAAATGAAATCTGCCAGCTAGCTGGCTTGGCAAGTGATGCAACTTTGATAAACCTGTAACCTTGTTCTCAACACTGTCCAAGAATGAAGATTATTTTGACCATTATTTACAATGGTGCTGCTAGCATGTATTGACTCAAATTGACTTCTGATATGTTTATCCAACGGAAATGTTGGGTTTAAAGTGGGGGGGCGAATTGCATGAACATTAACTGGAGGCCTCATTCCAAGAGTGGCTGGTAAAACTGTTGGATGAATCTCCACATTAGACTCAAGTGTGGAACCCATTCTGGACAAAGCAGATCCAGTCCCGTATAGATTTATATCACTATTTGGAATGTTACTGACAGGGGATGTCTGAAGATTGCTTGCTCGACCTCTAATATTCCAAGCATCAAGAGGTGGATGAGAGTTTAAACTCCGGTTTGTCTGATTTTGGTATCCAGATACATGAACTGGTGATCCACGTCCATACTGCAGATGGAATAAACAAATTTTCAATTCATAAAAAAAAAAAAAAAAAAGAGTCCTATTCCCTTCAAATTTAATACTAAAAAACAGTGACTTCCATCATGATATAGAGAGCTTACTGCAGGTATGACATTTGAAAGCACTGAGGAAGTATAGGATGCATGGGATTATGAAATGGGGTTGATAGAGACCTTGAACTCTCTAAACTTCATTAGCTAGTTTTCTAGGGTACGACTATTCCAAAGGTTCCCTCGTTAGAAGCTCACAAGGATATGTGTCATTTTGATAACAAAAAGCTGTGAACCAGACCATTTATCAATATTCCTTAACATTATGCAAATTCTAAAGGGAATTCAAACAAAGGAAACAAAAATGAGGAGAGAAAAGAAAAACAAAGGGAATGTTGTCAGAAAAGTTGGAATGAGTCTTAGAGTATTTGATTGGAACCCTAAACAAAACAATCAACAATCTTCAAACTCATAAATTTAACATTAGATCTAGACATGTCAACAGTATCTGATTAGTGACAAACATCACAACACAGTTGAAAAGGGGATCATCTAAAATAACTGAAAAGCTAGAAGAATCACAGAAAAAGTTGAAGAAACATACACTTGAATGAACAATTTATCTCCTAAAACAGAGGAATCATCCATTGATGGAAGCTGTGACCGACTAGACCAACTATGCCTAGTATCCTGTTTGAAGTAGCTGCACTAATAACAGGTCTTTCCCTGGAGAAACCAATACTTGATGGAAAGAAATCATTATTCCTACTATGATCCACTAATGTTGGACTCATATCTTCCCAGTCAAATTCCTCCTCTTCAGTGTTTTGCCATGATGTTGACACAACCCTGTTTATACCATTTGTGTCCTGACGCTCAACCACCAAAGGCTTATTATTGAAGGTTTCGTTGTTTTTATCACTGCCATATGCATCTATTAAAGCTTTAAGACTTTGACGCTGATGCCCATTAACTTGAAACTGGTTCTGACCATCATCAGAATATTGTTGTTTCCACCCACTCAACTCTTCAGTTCTACTTCCTGCTTTACCAACTCCATAATCAAATGCAGGATGAGAAAGAGTATCTCTCTCAACTAGCCTGCCAGCAGAATTGTGAACTGCAATTTCATCTATAGTTGCTGATGGAGGCCTATCAAGTCCGATTCCTGATGGTGGAGATCTTCCAAGCCTGCTAGATAAAGGTTGATGTATCTTACTAACTCCACGGCCAAAATTTGCAAGACCCAAATTTACTGTTGATTCCAATTTTTCACCTCCAACCTGCAAGGACAAGAACATCCTTTCAAAATGCCACACATCACACCCATATGTGGATTTTTTTTTTCCCAGATAAGGTTTTGATAACGTTTCTACTGCATACTCAGTGTTCAGCAGCAATCATTTAGTCCGTCCAAGGATGCATCTGCTCACACCCTCTCGTACATTAACCAAACAAATAAAAGTGGAGGAGAGGGGAAATTAATAGAACATAGCAAAAGTGATAAATGAATAAAATGTCAGGTTATACATGTCTACAAGAAACCAGTGACACTAACAAGCAATAGATTCTTTTTTTCCCTGTTGACGATATGTTTAGATTTAACTTACCTCCAACTCATTCTACCTCAGAATCACAGGCGCTACTAGCACTGTAATACATTATGGACCACAGTAAACAAAAGCCCAGGATTATTATTTAAAAAAAAAATGAATTCCCGGAGTCAAGGGGGAATGCAGTCATAGGGTCCAGTCAAGAAAATTCCAAATCCAGGGACGAGCAAACGGGAATAGTTGAAGATAAAACAATATCATTGCTAGCAAAAACCATTCATCAATTGATAAAAGACCATGTCTACAAAAGCACTATCCTCCTATCCTCCATTGCTACCTTTAACATCAAAGTTTCAAACATAGAACTATGATAATTGATAATGTGTCCATAAAGAAATAGTTGGCAAGAGAGTGGGGGAGTGTGAAGGATGTGAAAAGATCCTGAGAATCTGAGACATTTGCCACTGAATTTACTTGAGAATACATGTACAAAATTAACTTGATGACAGATGCATGCTCGTGACATTCCCTAACGATCAAGTTGCAGTCTTCTCCCTGCACACGTTGTAAAGACTTTAGTGGCTCCATTAAAAAAGCTTACACTATCATTAGTAGAGTGTTCCAACTGCTGCAAGTACTTCGGATTGATATGTATGCCATGAGTTGCTTGACGAGACTCAGACACCCTAAGGGGATCAGTGGTAGATGACGGATCATTAATTGCTTGAGAAAACTGCAGTTGAGCTTCAATCTTGCGTATGACAGAAGGCAGAAAGACCGTTGACCAGGTGCCAAAGAGATGGCGCATAGCATTATGGAGCTTAGGGTGAACCTGCCTGTATGCCTCACAGAAAATCTGGGGAGACAATAGAACCCCTAGTGTTAATAAAATGACATATATAAATTAAAATGACAACACTATTAATTGACCTACTTCAGGCAGACATGAAGAGAAGTGTCCAATATATTCCCGACCAACATTCTTCACAATACTGTCCAAAAGATATAGCGATGGAAGCTTTTGATCTGCAGGCACCTGCAAAGGGATGGCTTCAAAAAATCGAAGTCCTATGAAAACAGCGGCAAAGCCAAACATAAAAATTCAACAGGGCATGATTTGTTATATTTTTAATCACTCCAAATGTCTTTCTCAGAGGATGTCATTTAATACAAACTCAGCACTTTTGCATAGCCCATTACAAGGCCATATATCGATAAAATTTTCTGAAACAACTTCTAATTAAAGATCAGCATAAAGATCTATGATATACACTGTCTAATACGCAGGGTTGAGAGTCTTGGAATCATCCTAGTAAACAAAAGATTGATTAAAATTCCCATTAGCATTGGCAAACCACCACATCTTTGATTGCTTCCATAATCAAATCCTTTTGAAGATAGTTCTGCCATAGCTAGTATTGATTAAACAAAACAATAGGAATAACAAAGTTGAGAAAGATAAAACTAATGTAAACATCAGTTTCACAAAAATACATTTATAAAGAAAAACACTTCAGAACTGATTTATTGAAAGAGGATCGGAAATTTTCAATATATCAAGGCATCAAGCATGTTCTAATTATGGATATGAAGGTATTTTTCCCACCCCAAGCACAAGCACCCCACAAATATTACTCAATCATATTCAGGAATATATTTAATCTTTTTCTTGAATCACTACTTTCTTCAATCTTTTTCCACAAGGACACTCAAAGACATTTAAAAGTCAGGAAAAAGATAGGGTTAGGAAGTAGAACAACTGCGTGGATAATTAATGTGAATTATGTTCAGACTTCTATTTCAAACTCTGCAGATCGGCCAAAGACTTTATCTTCAGCAAAACTTCACAACAGGCCAAAATTTACTCATAATATATATACTTTTCACTTTTAGTGCTCTTAAACTGTTCTCAAGTTAATTAGGAAGTCCAATGGGTTCCACACTAGAATACCAGCTTCAAGTGTCGTAAGATGATCATACGTGCTAATCAGTCATATAGACTAGTAGTACAAATTATAACACTAAACCATTTGAATAGAAACAAGGTTCTCTGTTGACCTTTATTAATATTATGATCATTATTATAAGGAGCTCATACAGCCAAAATCAGGCTTCCCCTGCATTCGTGTAACCCAGTTAGGATGAAATTGGAACGTGAAAACCAAGAACCGATTGAGGAATGGCGCAATCCATTAAAACGGGAGTCATTCTTTTCTAATTACGGTTTTAAGGATCATAAAAACTAAAATCCCCACCTTCGTAGTCAGGAAAGAAGCGCCAAAAAAGAAAACGAAAGGTGTAAATAAATTGGAGGAAGCGAAATCCAAATTCTGATATTCGTAGTTGCACAAAATGAAACAGAGAACAGCATAGCTTTGATCTCAATGTATTTACAAAAAGGTGGGGGGAAATCTTTCCGCAGCAACCGAGACAGACCTCGAGAATCCGAGTGCAAATTGCATCGGCGATGCCCCTGGCATGCTCTATCTGAAGCTCAGCAATAATGGTTAGATCCGTAATGATAGGCTTCAAGTTGCAAGTGAGGTCCGACAATAACAACTGGTAAATTTGCACAATTTCTTCAGTGCTAGGGGGTGGCACCGGCACGTCGTCACCAAAGGAAGCCCTGAATTCATCCTCGCGTTCTTTTAGCAAAGTCTTGAATCGGCCCAATAGAATCGAAGGGGGAGGCTTCTGGGCGATCTCATTGGGGATAATGGGTTTTGAGGAGACAATTGGAGCAGTAGAGAACGAGAGGGGTCTAGGGTTTTCTCGGGAAAATAAGAAATTTGGGGGGTCCATGAAGATCAGAGCACACGCAAAGATGAGCAAAAGGGTAGGTCCGGCAGGATTAGGGCTTTAGATTTGCCCCAACCAGAGAAAGTGAGGAGTGAAACATGGAGGTTTTCCCCTCCCACCATCGCCAGAAGGGCGAGCGACAGAGAGAGAGGAAGGAAAGTTACGAACTTGCAAAGTTCCACTTGTAACGATGGAGTCCTGATGAAGAAACCGATCGGACGGCTGCCAGGTATGCAGTCACTGCAGGAGTATTTCATGAAGAAGGAGAGAAGTGCTTTTTTAGTTATTTTATAAGGTATTTTATTTAATTTTTATCAAGAATTTTTTCTTTTATCCTATTAAAGATTTGTGACAAATTCACACTATCAAAATATATCTATCTAATAAGAAAAAATTAAAAAATTATTAATTTTTAAAAAAATTAACAGATTTTAAAATATTTTAATTTTTAATTTTAATAAAACATATTATCAGAATGATATAGTCATAAATAATATAATTAATTTTTTAAATTTCATATAAATACGACAAAGTCAATTTCGTTACTAAAGCTTCAAATTTTATCTTTTAGTATAAAGTATTTAATATCTTACATACATATCTAAATTTTCGCATGATGAATACAAATGAGAATAGGTTTTTTATTGTCATTTTACTCCACACAAAATTTTGACACAAACACTATCAGTTCGTGTTTATATTCCAAAGAAAAATTAAAACAATATCTTATTTTGATTGTTTTCCTATAAAAAGGACACGTATATAATATCATCCAAGTAAAAAAAAATGCATTGTAAATTACATAAGTTGATTATTTATCAGAAAATTACATATTTTAATGGGGTCAATAGCAATAGGACTCTGAATTGTTGTTTGAAAATTACTCTGAACCATGAACTCTTAAAATGTAAAAAATAAATCCTAAACTTTTAAATTTGTAGTAAAAGAATTCTAACCATAACTTTTTTAATGCGGGTATTGTTTACACAAGTACTGTTCATCATGGGCCCCATTAATGCTAATGTGTCATTATGAATTAGTGTCACAAACCTTAAATTATTATGTTAGTGGTGTTCTAAATTCTAAACTATTATATTAACAACAGCGTTATAGACTTTGAACTTTAAAATTTTGAACATTATCCCTATTATTTTATGTATAAAACATGGACCTATATGATTGGCCGCTATGAATGTAGTGATGGCCACGATAAACGACTTATAATTTTGTGAAATGACTTTTTTTGCCCTTTTTTTGTAATATTTTCCAAACGATTAGTATCATATCTTCGATACACTCTATAACTCTAATTTATATTATTTTCAATAATGTTTATTTATTTAATAGTAAAAATTGGGGATCCCATTTGAAAAGAAGTTTAAATATTAGATAATTTTTAATTAACCATTTAATTTGAGTTTTAAATTCATTGATGAAAGCATCGACTTTCGCATCTATTGTCTTGTAAAATCTTATAATACTTAAACTTCTTTTCAAATAAGATCTAATTTTTCACCATTAAATAAATAAATATTATTCAAAATAAAGCTAAATTAGAGTTATAGAGCATTCAAAAGCATGAGATACCAATCATTTTAAAAATATTGCAAAAATGTCATTTCACAAATTATAGGTCATTCACCACGGCGAACAATGCATTCATAAGGCGAACCATTTTGAGGCTAATTTGGTTTACATAATAGTCAATAGCTTATACATAAAATAGTGGGAGTAATTTGCTCAAAATTTCAAAATTCGGGATCCAAAATGTTACTAACATAATAGTTTAGGGTTCACAACTCTACTAACATAATAGCTTAGGGTTTATGATGCTAATTTACGATGACGTATCACATTAACTAGGGCCCACGGTGAATAGTACTCGTGTGAACATTAACGGTGTTAAAAAAGTTAATGATCAGGTTTTATTTTACTATAAATTTATAAGTTTAAAGTTTATTTACATATTTTTAAAAGTTTAGGGTCCATGGCAATTTTTGAGCAAGTTTCAAGACCTTATTTATTTATTAACTCTATTTTAATTTAGTCCAAATAAGAATAGTTGCTGCCATTGCAAGTTGTTCGTGTCCCATTTTACCTCTGTAAGACTTGAATCGCGACGTACACATCAACATCCTTTGAACTACTAAACAGATGAATGAAGGGGTGGATCTTAATACATACTACATAGTGAAGCTACTCCATTCAACAAGAAAATAAAGGAATTTACTAATTTAGCATGCAACAACCCTTATAGCAATCTAATTAAATTACCCTTTCAATTCGTTTTGCTGTCAGGGGGATTACAACATTATATAAATAGAATGAGAATTTCTCCTCATCGAACTTTAACTCTTTGTTTGGATGGAAAGAAAAATAGGGAGGAAAGAAAACTAAGTGTGAAATCTCCTAACATAGTATAGGAATTTACTATTTTAAAAAATTCTTTTTCTAGTTTTCTTTTCTTTTCATTTTCTCTCTCATTTTTATCCAATAGGCTTAGTTTGAATAAAGTAAAAAGTGTGAAGAAAATAGAAAAAGAGAAAGATAGAAGAAGAAATTTCGACATGTAAATATTTATTATTTTTAATGTTTTCTTTTCTCTCCTAATTTTCCTTCTTCCATATTTTTGTTCTCCTCCAAAAGAAGGTACAATGATTCACTATTTTGTATTAAACTCACAATTGACTAGTTTAAATATGAATTTGAATTAACAAATATTTATGAATATTAAAACATTGTACATGAGAGAAAAATTGAAAAAAGATCCCACCTAAAATTAGTTATTTACTATTATAAAAAAACCCTGATTCTTTAGATTGTCTTTGGATGGTGTGTGAACATTTGAAATGTATACCTCAAAACAAATATTTTGTAGCTCTTGGATTATGTGGCTGCTCCTCTTTGCTCAATTTTGTAGAGGCTTAAATTAACATTTAAAATATAAAGTTTAGTACTAGCCTGTTTTTTGTGTATTGTGTAGAGTCTACAAATAAAGTATTAATATTCATGATTCATAATAGTACTCTTTGTTATAATTAATATTGTATACAGATAAAGAGTGATGTTTACACATGTTAGTGTGATGTTTGAAGTTATGAGAATTAGGAGGGTGGGATTACATGGGGGATCAACTTCTCTTCATTCAACTAACCTCCTCCCACCGATTCTCCATTTATTAGAACACAACATTTTAGCTAGTAAAAAGATTAGGCTATCCATTTCATGAAACAATCCTTGCCCTTCATTACCATTTTTATCTTTCATTCTCCTGCTTTCTACAACTCCTGGTTCTAGAGGCAGGATTCATGGGCTTGCCTTAAAAAAAATGTGTTCAATTCAAGCGTGCAGGAAGAAATTGCCAACCAATATATATATATATAGATATATATATCATCTTTGCATTTATATCTCTTTATTTTTATATGTTTCACCTATGATCATATTGAATCTCTCAATAATTTTAAATACTAGCATATAAGTTACTCTCGGCTTAACTAAACAAGGGAATCACATATCATAGCTTTTATTTAAAAAATAATTTATGTAACAGTTCCATCTCACCATAGAGATTAACGAAGAATCAAGGATGAAGCTCTTGAACATTCACTAGCAAGGAGGACTCTCAAACTTGATGAAGATGCCCGCTGAAGAAGAAACATATGGGTCGATATGCTGACAATGAAGACCTCTTGAACAGCATAAAGGCAGAGGGGGACGAAGAGAAAAGGGAAAGCCTTCGCACAGTGAAATAGAGAGAAGGGAAGAGTGAAGTGTCCAATCCAGGCATCTTTATTTCTTTCCAATTGGCCAAGTCTAAACAATGAAGTGAATGTTTGAGTTCCACGTAAAATGACATCATTTTAATTAAATGGAGGGGTAGTGGAGGATAGCTCAAAGGAGAGAAGCCAACCCCATTATGTGGCTCCTTATTTGGATAAAAAAAATATCAATATAACAAGGAGCAATCATTATTAGATTAAAATGATATGTATTGTGAGTCAAAATGGACAAATATACATCACTCAACATTGATCATCTAGATGTATCTTTGGATAACATGTTAAAATGTTCAAAAGTCAAAACACATAATTTTCATTTACCATTAAATAATGCTTTTTCATCTCAATGGACTATAGGGCATGCTCCTCTTTACTTGATTTCTTGAAAAAAAATTAGAATAAATAGTTAAACTAGAGTTTTTAACAGAAATTAATATGTGTTCTTGTGTGTTGTATTGAGTTTAAGAAATAAGTAATATATTGATAACTCATAAATAATACAACTTTTATAATTTTTAGAATTTTTATACCATATAATAGATAGTAAGTATTTCTTCTTGCAAGAAGTAAAATACATGTATTCATATAATTAATTTATTTGATTCTCTAATTGCATGTTAGCCATGTGTTACTGCTACATCTAAAGTTACGAGGAAATCTAAAGGACGCAATTACGTGTTCTCTTCTTTGATTGAAATGGACGGCTAGATATTACTTAAATTTGATCATCTAGTTGTATGTTCAGGTGGCATGTTATCATGTTCAAAATGCATTAGTTATCTTGAAACAAACATTTTATGCTCCATGGACTATTTGTGACTCATAAATAGTAATGACTTTTCAAAATCTTTATACAATATATATATATATATATGGTGTTTCCTTATTAAAAGAAGAAAAACATCTTTATTTTTGCAATAATTCATCAAATTCTCTTATTGCATGTTGGCCATGTGTCAGTGATACATCTAAAGTTATGAAAAAATCTAGATGATGCAATTACCTGTCTTTTTCTTTAATTAGAATGGATGGTTAGATATTGCTTAAAATTGATTATCTAAAATGTCTTTGGGTGGTGTGTTTTTAAACATTCAAAATGCATTAATTACCTCGAAACAATGCATTTGAGCTCCATGACCATGTGATATGCTCCCTTTGCTCAATTTTGAGAATGATCTAGAATCAACTTTCAAAATACAGTTTTAAGTACCAACTAGTGTGTATTTTTTGCGTTATATGGAATTTGAAAACTATATGATAATATTCGTTACTCATAAATAGTACAAATTGTTAAAACCTTTATACAACATATATATACATACATTTGGTGTTTCTTCTTGCAAGAGGCAAGACAGATATTTTTCTACAATTAATTCAGCAGGCTCCGTTATTTGCATGTTGGCCGTATGTTATTTCTACATCTAAAGTTATGAAAATATGGGAGGATGTGA